AAAGGGAGGATCACTAAATGTCACATGCCCATACAGACTTGGTGGACGGCTTTTTGGCACTCTAAAAAGTGACTTTGCAGTTTCCAAACACCTCGAATAAACTTGGGGTGGTTAGTTGCTGGTATGTCAACTGACGTCAGACCACATCAGTCACAGGGCTCTCAGTAGAACGGCAGAATTCTACCGGCTGTAAAATCAAATGTAGCCACCTGTTCTGGTCATTGAAATTTGTCTACATATAACAACAAATTAAGACTTACAGACTGAGACGTTTCAAGAAGAAAATAGTATTTTAATTAAAACGGTGAAACAGCGCTACTTGCTACATCCAATTTTATGATCATGAACTCATTTTCCGTAACACTTTCCCCCCAAAATGCATGAATTCGCATCTTTGGCCGTCTAAAATTTCAAAATTTTCTGGGAGAACATGCCCGCGGACCCCGTACGGTAGCTTGTCACTTCGGGCGAATCGGGCCTGACTTTAATTTATGTTGCCTGTTATGCTTTATTCGACGCCTGTGAAAACTTCTATTAGAACCCTGATCAAATATCGGGAAGACACGGATCAAGAGACTGCACCATGACGGCTTCATTAATCTGTAACTCAGCATCACGATTAGGAATATTACTGTCATATGACCGTTAAAAGCACTAAATATACGTTTCGAAAGGTGAATATGTGTGCAAAGACATTTTGAGGGATCATGAAATTTATTAATAGCTATGAGGGGGATACTTCAATAAAATAACATTTAAATGGGGCATCAGCTAAATGTTACCGTCTTAAGCCGAAAATCCTCCGCCATCCCCCAGGCGAGAAATAATGACCGGTCGAAAGTGATTATTTGTATAGAAAGGCTTTTTCATGGTTTAAGATAGTAAGCAAAACAATCTTTATTATTTGATTATCTCTTTTTCTTATAAAAAACACGCAAGTTACTGAGAAAAGTAACATAGACGCCCCATGCAAAAGAAAACCGCTGCATGGCAGGTTGGCTCTTGCATGGTTTTCTTTGTCACGAAATGTTTAAGTTGCTTTTTTGATCGAAAAGTGCATTTCACGCCGAGAAGTGGAATTGACTTTCATTTCAATTTTAAAATAACAAAATTTCGACTTCTCATTTTAGTGAGGAAAATTCATATTTTGGCGAAAAAACGGATCCCCGTGTTTTCCACTTAGACCCCGTGTTTTCCACCAGATCCCGTGTTTTCCACACTCCGCGTTTCCCACACCCCGAGACCCCGTACCCGTAAATCGGGACCCCGGTCCCGCGTTTTCCTTGTAGCTCTGCTAAGTTCCAAGCTTCGCTCAGCAACGTGGTTTTGATAGGTTTGCTAATTTACGGTAAGCGAGCAGGAGTTGAATAAGCTGGTTGAACAAAGGCACTTGGCACTCGAAAACGGACCAAAAACCAACAAACTGGTCTGTATCAACCTTTTGAGGTTAGTCATACATAGTGGGAATTTTAGAGAGAATTTTTCAGCGATTTGATGATAATAAAATTCAGCACAAGCTTTCATTGTAAAACTTTTCTGGTGTCGAAAGCCATTTAAATGCTTTCGGCGAGCAAGACTTACGCATGAGAGTTTTACCAAATTTCTGTTTTAAGTGAAGCCCTACATGTACATACAAAATTCTTCTGTTCAATAAAAGAAGTTTCATCAAATATTGGGAGTCTCTGATGAATTATTTCAGTCGGCCCGGTTTTCAGTTTTGCTCGATCGTGAATTGAACTCTTGAAGGAACAGCCGCGAGAAGGAACGACAGCATGGGCACAAATATAAGCTTACATTTCTAACATTTTCCTTTAAGCCTCAGGTTTCTGTTCAGTTAAGCTTATTTTACCAAATAAAGAGAAATCATTTTTTAAAGCCATTCATTCATGTGTTCAAGTTCAGCCTTAGATGAACAATTCATCAAATTTAAAACGAAGTGAAAAGGAAAACGTAACCCACAAACCAGCTATTGAAGAAGAGCATCTAAAATTAAACAGCTCCAAGCCAGGGACTTTAGTTCGCTTTCTTCTGCACTCTCGTTTTTACAGCTGTAAGAAATGTCCGGTTCCATACTGTTCTTTTCTTTTGCAGCAGAGGCCGTGAAGGACAGAGAGCACAACCACCAAAAGTTTGTCGTCAATTCTTCGTAAAACCGATCCAAATTTTGCTAACTTTTGAAAAACCGACAGTAATTTTTGTTTGTTGTTGGCTTGATAGTGTCACGCTGCAAAATGTAATAATCAACACAAAATGTAATATTAACACAAAATGTAATATTAACGCAAAATGTAATACTAACGCAAAATGGAATAACATTGATGCAAAATGTAATAAAAATGTCAACGCAAAATGTCATTAAGTTTCAACGCAAAATGTCATAATTTTTATAACGCATATACATTGTAATAACGCAAAATGTAATAACTCTTGAACGACATGTATGATATCTCGAAACCAGTATTATGACTCGGTGGTACATCGAGTTGTAACCCATTCATACTTTCACAATCTTTAACTCCGGAGATCATATGTTTCGAATAAGCACCATGTTGTTATTGAAGGGTGTGGTGATTGGAATATATGGTTACAGTCATTTCTTGCCTTGTGGACACCTCACTATTTCGGACACCCCACTAATATGGACAGCTGCTGAATCCCCGGCAAAAATTGTAGACTTTTGATTGAAAAAAACTTCCGTTATTACGGACTCTCGATCGCGTTTACAGACTTAACCGACACATGTTCTAGTCCTGACAGTTTCATTCTACTGTTCTAAATCTCGTCATAACGGCCAACTAGCGGCATTTAGACAGCAGCAGGATTTATTTCTTCCGTTTTAATGATATAATTTCTCTTTTAGTTTTTTTTCAACTTTTAAGACCAACTTTCTGGTCTTAATGCAATTAATAGGTTCGTCCAGCTCGTCCAAATATTTTCTTCGCTAGAGTTGGTTATAAAGTCAATCCGAAAATAAAGATCTGTTATCATTATAAAGCAAATGTTAGCAATGAGATGTCTTCTCGCACCCCGCTATTACGGTCTTTCGCTATGAAAAGACAATTACTCCAAATCGTACATTTTGTTTTGACCTTAAACAGAGTAAGAATTGCACTGTCAGGACCGGGACATGTGTCGGTAAGCCTGTAAAAGAAAGAGTCCGTAGTAATGGAATTTTCTTTCAATTTTAAGTCTATAATTGTTTTTTGTCTGTAAGGTTTGAGTTGACTGTACCCATATATTTCAATCACCACCCCCTTCAACAACAACGCCGCGCCTATTCGAAACCCCATCTCTGGAGTTGAAGATTGTCAAAGTATAACGGGGTTACAACCCGATATTCCACCTGATTCCGATCCACAGAGCTTTCAAACTGAAAGCTATTGCACAATTATTTTTTTTTGACATAAACCCTGTACATCAAATTGAACCAAATATTCAATTCACCTACACGTCACAGTATTACCTACATCAGGATAACGTTGGCCGAGTCATAATACTGGTTTCGAGATATCGTACATGTCCTTTGAGAGTTATTACATTTTGCGTTATTACTATATGTGTTAGAAAAGTTATTTCATTTTGCGTTGACTTTTTTATTACATTTTGCGTCAATGTTATTACATTCTGCGTTAGTATTACATTTTGCCGCGATTCTTAGTACATTTGCCGTTAATATTACATTTTGTGGCGATTATTACATTTTGTGGCGTAACAAGTTAGGTTAACGGAGCAGTTTGAAGTTGTTTGTTTGTCCAAGATCGAGAAAGTGTAAACTGACTCACCGCGCTCCAAGAAAAATTTTGTTGTGTTGCTTTGTCAGATTTTGAATGAACGTTTCCCCGCGGTTAATTGTGCTTTTGACTTCATGTATTAAGGAAAAGCAGGGCCAGATTCAGTAAAAAAAATGTTTTCATTTGGAATTTCCGGAAACTCTCGCTAGTATTCGAGTCATTCAGTTTCATTCACGGCACCTTTGGTGTTTCAGCTTTTAGTTAGGAAAGTACTCAGTTCTGATATTCGTTGTAGATCTCTGGGAAGTACTATTTTAAATCATTCCAGTTAAGTTTAAAAGTCATTACAGGTCATTTTAGAAATCAGTCAAGTGTATTTTATATCATTAAATCATTTTAGGTCATTTTAGATCATTTTAGATTTATTTTAGATATATTCTAGATCATTTTAGGTCATTTTAGATCATTTTAGGTCATTTTAGGTCATGTTATATCATTTTAGATCATTTTAGGTCATTTTAGGTCATTCCTTGTTTTAGTAACTACACAAGGCGTGGTTGTGTTATTAGGCACCTTAAGCAACAGACGTTTTCGCTGACGACGGCGACGTGACGACCGATAAGAAACTGGGGCTAGAACGGCTTCAGGTTGCGGTCGCGACAGCAAGTTACCATCCTTAAAGAAGGATTTCTCGGGCTAGCATCACATCTTTTTGTTCTGTCCACTCCATCTACGAGTTGAAGATAAACTGTACTTGAAAACCTTATACTACTCATGTTTTACTAAGAGATGTAAAATCATTGCGAAATATAACGAAACAATTTAAATTTATAAACTTTGCCTGCTTTGAAATGTCAAACGTAAAGAGCAAAAATTATTTCACGTGTAAAACGTGTATTGCTAAAGCAGTCAATTGTGATTTTTAACCAAAGTTTGTATCACCGCTCATTGAGAAAAAAAAACAGGTGTATTTTTAGACTGCCAAGCCTTACACACACATAGATTTTGAACAAAATCTCAGCTGACTGCGTTTTTCATTCGACACATTGATCGGCCGCTCAAATACAGGAGTTTTGCCAGCTCTTTTGATGAAGAATCGTAAACAGCATTCTGCGAAGGATGCAATAATCTTGTATGTTCAAGAAATAAAATCCAGGCGAGACAGTTTGGTAGCGCGAAGTTTGTCAGCTCTTGTAAACATTAAAAAAATGTATCATGTAAACACTGCTCGAATACAAAATTCATCGAGTCGATTAAAAAAGCCTCTCTGTTAAAAGAAATACCAAGACGAGGGGATTGCCAAAATAAAATCAATGTTATTTCAAGCTATAGCAACCTACTGATTATACGCAGAGAAAATCTGAAAAAAAACTAATTATACTAAGCGGCATTACGTTGCATTGGATGAAGGCAACCTCTTCGCTGAAGGCTAGTTTGACATGCGAAAAACAAGTTTTCAGTTAAAAAAAATGAGTCCAGGAATACTTCCAGAACATTGTTTTAAGCATAAGGGCAATCATTATGCAACTTTTCCTTGGTTCGGCACCAAAATAGCACAGAAGCAAGCTAAAAAGGATCAAAACAAAAGATTAAGTACTCAAGTTTTTGTCGCGACGTGAAACCCCACGTTCTCACGTTCTCGACCTCAGGGCAACGTCAGGTCACAACGTGTTGTACATGCGCAGTGACGTCTCGTAAGAAATGTCACGTTTCCGGTTGCCGTCGTCAGGCCGGCGACGTCTGTTGCTTAAGGTGCCTATTCAGGGTTGCCACCCACCTGAACAAAGAAAATCCCTGACTTTTCCCTGACTTTTCACTGACTGTAAAGCAATTTCACTGACCGTGCAGGAAGATTATTCTGGCCATGAATCAACGAAAATAAGGATAGCTCAGATAATTCTTGAAACAAAATTGTCTTGTCTATACAAAAATATCTAATAACATAATTTGCGGCAACCTTAAGATAAAATTCCCAGAAATCCCCTGACCTGATACAAAACTCTCTGACTTTTCTCTGACCTTGAATAAAATCTTCTTTCCCCTTTCTTTTCTTTGACCATGGCAACCCTGTTCTTAGTCTGCTCATTTCACTTTTAACTTTCTCACTAACCTTTATTTTATTTTCATTCAAATTAAGAATATGCAGTGCAGAGCTGTTTTTGTTTTTTTGCAGTTGTTCAGCATTTGGTATTTGGCATTTGTTATTTGGTATAGATTATTTGACATTTGTTTGGCATTGTTTGATAAGTATTTGACAGCTCTCTCTCAGTCTCGCTTTCCACAATTTTGGCATTTAAGTCCCAGCGAGGGGGAACTCGACGTATACGTAAGCCTCTTCGAAGCTGCACGTCTCCTGGCCTAGCAAATTACCCTGGCCAGTCAAGGGTTGCGATAATGCTTTTGTCCCCTAATATACGAGAGACTTGTTATCAGCATTTCCAGTACAAACTACATCCATAGCATCGATCAATAATATAAATCGCCAACAGACAGAAGTCAACTCTGTAAAGACAACCCCCAGCTATGACAAAAAATGGCGAACGACAGCTCTCCGTGTGCTTCGTCATATGACTATTTTCGGACTCAAGCAGTTTCCGAAGGAAAGAATCTAATTACTAGTACTCAAAAGTGCTCTTATAGGCATTGCTTTTAAAGGAAAAAACGATACAACAAGGAGGCATAGCTTTCAGATGACAAGGCATTCACATTTCATTCCTCCTCCATGTGACATTAACACATTTGACACAAATGATTCCGTCGATTTGTCCGCGGACCAGGGTCGATAGACATTGCAGCGTTTAAGATTTTCGATGCAGTATCGTAGCTTATAGAATTATGTTGTCGATTTGTCGCAGCAAGTGTTTCTTAGTGTAATAACTTCCCTTTTTTCAACCCACAAAGGAATCCCTGTTTACAGATTGAACAAAAAACCATCTTCGACCTCTGTGCCGCGTTGCACCATGTTGTTGGACAAAAATTTACGCCTTTCTAGTACCCCCATAAAATCTACCAAACATATGCCCAGAAGTCTTTGGGACTAAAACAATACTTAGCGGGGGAGATAGGAGGAAAAATGTTTAATCCAACTTTAATGAATAAATTCTGGGGAGGGGGTGCTACCTTATATGAGCTATATAGGTATGTGCGGCCCCAAAGGGTATGGTTTTTCAGTCGTTTTGGTCATAAATAGGGTATCGATTTAGCCTATTTTGGTCATTTTGGTCATAAACAGGGTATGGTTGTTACACTCTAGCCTTGATATGGGTATATTTTTAAGAAGAAGCCACTTTTTCATTATTGTCGAAAAGAAAATTAACAAAAGCCCTTCACAAATTATGTTTATGGTAATTTAACATTGGTCTGAACAAGGGAACTTATTATAACGCAGGTCTGAAACAGAGTTTTGATTTAATGGTCAGGTCATAAATAGGGTATCGAATATTTGGTCAGGTCATAAATAGGGTAGGGAATATCGTAGATTTTGGTCGTAAATAGGGTAAGGGTTTTGGGAAGTGGGCTGCACACCCCCACTCAACTTTTCTGGGAGTACCCCCCTACCCAGGGGTGCCATTGGACTGCCTTCTAAGCTCATGGAAGACTACGTCATCCATGAGCAAAAACCGTCCTTTTAAACGGAATTCCTTCAGAGAGGGAATGATATACAAACTTGTTTTTTGAGAGAAAGGTTCTCTAACAGATATGACTTGAAGTTAACACTGACATGGGTGATTGTGGTGGGAATGATGGTGCACGTGGCATTTATGATGGCAAACATGATGGTGATGATGACTGCAGAGTTTGCCTCCGAAAAGTGATTTGTTGTGAAACTCTTATTACTTTATAAACCTTTAAACAATTTGCAGCTGAGCTTAATTGTAACCCGTTTTACTCTTATTGTCATTGCCTTGTCAAAATTTAGAGGATCGTTTGATACAGTGGCTACGAAATGTAGGAAATTTGCAAATCAGCATCAATCCAATGGAGAGTCCTTTGGAGGTAATTCAAGTGTTTAACCTTCGTACTTGTATGAGAGGGTAGCTGATGACACCCATTGGAAGTTTTGTCTGACCTCGAGTGAGATGGTTAAAAAGTGTCTTGCTGAATATAACTAATTGTCACTTAGTATCACCCAACTAGTGGACTAATGCAAATCCTGCATTTTGATTGGCTACGCTACTAGAGGACTATTAGTAATAGTCCTCGAGTAGCAAAA